AATAGAATAGAAACAATAAAAACAATGTATGCAGTAAAGCACTTCAAAACAAGCCTATAGTAAATCCAGAATTGCTGCCATAATGTATCTTGCTGTCTTTGAAATAGCTGCTCCTGCCATCAGATTTGACATAATCAAACAAAACAAAAGATTGGAAATGCTCTTTTTTAAAAAAATGTTTGTTTAGGCCGAGGATTTAGTTCAGCAGCTTAAGCCACCTGCCTGGCAAGCATGAGGTCATGAGTTCAATCCTTGGTACCAAAAAAAAAAAGTTTGTTTCAAGAAAATGAAAAGGCAAGCCACAGAAAATACTCGCCAAATGTATCTCCAGTGAAAGACTTACATTTAGAATATATAAAAAAAACTCTTATTACTGAATAGGAAGAAGACAAACAGCTGAATTTTTTAAAATGGCAAAAATTTTTAATACACACCTCATTGAAGAAGCTATACAAATAGATAATAAACACCTGAAAAATTGTCTCATATTGTTAGTTCTCAGAGAAATGTAAATTAAAACCACTCTCACGTGCCACTTCACATCAATTAAAATAGATGAAAAGATTGATAATAGCAAACGTTAGTGGATGTAGAGCAGCTGGAACTCTCATACAGTGCTGGTAGAAGTGATAGCTTTCGAAAACAATTTGGCAATTTCTTTTTTTTTTTTTCTTTTTGAGACAGGGTTGGGCTCTGTGGTTCAGGCTGGCCTGGAGCTCACTTTATAGCCCAGACTGCTCTTGAACTCGAAAGGATCCTCTTGCCTCAGCCTCCCCGAGTGCTAGGATTACAGGCGTGAGCTACCACACCCAGCTATAAGCCATTTCTTATAATTTAAGAATATGTTTACTACATGAACTAGCAATCTCATTTCTGGGTATTTATCAAGAGAATGAAAATGTGTTCACTGGGAAGACTTGTACATGAGTGTTCATAGCAGCCTTATCCATAATAACCCCAAACTGAATGTAACTCAAATGTCCTTCATCTGGTAAATAGATAAATTTACAATGTATCATTCTAATGGACAGCTGCCCAGCAATGAAGAGGAAATGAGCTGCTGGTGCATGTTACCAGCATGTATGAATCTAAAATTTTATGCTCATGAAAAAAAATGTCGCACACAAAAAACTGCATTTTAAACAGTACCTCAGTTCATGAGCTTGACTGTTTCCAAGATTCTGGTTGCAAACTGAGTTGGATGAGAACTGAATTAAATTCAGTGGTTAGGTTCAGTGTTGACCTTATGGGGAAATTTGAAAGGTTGTTGTCTTATTTATTCATATGACAATAAGTATAGCTGGATGTGATGGTTCACATCTGTAATCCCAGCACTTTGGAAGACAGGCAGGAGGATTGTGGAGAGTGTGAGGCCAACCTGTGCTACATAGTGAGTTCAAGGCCAGCCACAGCAAGAATCTGTCTCCAAGGCTGGGGATTTAGCTCAGTGGCCTAAGCGCCTGATTGCAAGCAGGCAGTCGTGAGTTCGATCCCTGGTACAGATAAAAAGGAAAAAGACAAAAAAAAAAAAAAAAAAAAGAAAGCAGACTCATTTCTTATGAACTGTCTTGTTTTGTAGAACTAGCTTTGTGTGTACTGGAATTACGAAAAAGGAAAAAGACAAAAAAAAAAAAGAAAGCAGACTCATTTCTTATGAACTGTCTTGTTTTGTAGAACTAGCTTTGTGTGTACTGGAATTATGAAGAGGATTTTGACATCAATTTTGTTATTTTTTTTTTGAAAATAGCACTTGAAAAAGAGACTAAATCATTAATATGCATCATAATAATTTTAAGAACCAAGATACAATATTTGAACCTTGAAGTTCAGTATATGAAATACATTCTTTGGAAAATAGTTGTGTAAAATTCCTAACTAGGTTATGAATATAGAAATGAAGCTTCTAAATAAGAGTTGAAATCAAATATTTGCATAATTTGGTGAGCTTTACAGCTGTTTTCCTAAGAGGAGATAGTAGAATGGGAAAAAATGATTTTTATACGTTCTTTGCATTTACACTTGCAAAAGTCAGTTATAGAGCTTTAAGACTAAGACCTGCACCCTAGAGACTGGTGAGATCTTTCCTCTGTTGTTGCAGTGCCCAGCAGCCCCAGACAAGATGTAAATGAGTGAACATGGCTGGTTTCATAGAAACAGGTAGATTGGCCTAGAGATGGGGAATATTGGGCCCCTTCCCAGGCTGAGTGGTCTGGAAGCTATCTAGGCTGTGCCTCTGAAAGCGTAAAATGTGGGAGTCATGTGGGGATATCATGATAGAGGTGAATACCATGAGATGGCGGAGATGGATAAGACCCAGTCAGTATCACCAGGAAACTATAATCTGTTAGGAGAGACTGCTGTATATAAAGTAATTAAAATGTAGACTAGCAAAAGCTGTAGTAGAGGTATCTTCAGCACAAGAGCATCCATCACAAAGGAGGAAGTGATTGACTCTGCCTGGCCTAGATTAAATCCTTAAAGAAGCATGGGAGCCAGACCAGAAAGGGAGGCTGTGCTTGAGTTAAGTCTTGAAGCCACTAGTGTCACAAAGCATTGGGTAAGCATGGCAGTTCCTGATGGGGACAGTAAAGATTATGTTAGAACTAGGAGTTACTTGATTTACTGCTCACAGTATTGGAGTCCACTAAGATTACAGTGAATGGAAATAAAAGTTCAATATATTTTGTTATCTTAATTTCTTTATACTATTTCTTTACTTGGAAAAGGGTAACTTGCTGCAAGTTTTTAAGAATAGACCCTTAAAAAGTATATAAACTTTCTGCATGTGCTTGTGTGTGTGTGTGTGTGTGTGTGTGTGTGTGTGTGTGAACTGCCACATTTATTCATTTTATTTCCAAGATGTGAGGGTCAGAGCACATAGACTGTAATGGAGGGACAGAAGACAGAAAGCACCAAAGAAAAAGGGGAGGGGCTTTTAAAACAGCATATGCTGTAGAATTCCGGGGGCAGATCTCCATCAGAAAAACATGATCTTGACGTTTCAGAAGCAGACCCTTTGAGAGCAGGGCCCAAATGTACTTGAAAGAGGAGTAAGGCAAGGCACAAAGAGGTCGCATCAAAGGTCTTCTGCCGGTGGGGGACATGGGCTTCAGATACAGGCACCCTGGCCCCCATCCAACTGAAACTGGCTCTCATGTGGCCGGTGTGCTGGAGACATCTGTTTTTACATGTTCTTGCATCATTAAGCATTTGGAAGACACTGAGGTAGAATTATTTATGATTCATTATACCAAGAGTTAACCCCTGTTAACATTTTTATGCTTTTTTGTTTCAGACTTTTGTTTTTGGTGGAGATATTTCTGAGAATTGAATTCTGTACTAAGCTGCATTCCTGACTTTTTAAAATTTTTTATTTTGAGACAGGGTCTTGCTAAATTGCCTAGGCTGAGCTCAAACTTACAGTCTTCCTATTGTGGCCCCTCAGTGCTGAGATTACAGGCATGGGCCACCATGCCCGGCTTTTCAGTCTTTGTATATAATGTTTTACTTCTCAAATTGAGCATATACTAAATAAACTTTGTTTCTGTTTTTTTTTTCATTTAACATTTTATTTGTGAGCATTTCCAAGTGTGTTTGTGCCTTAAAAGTGTCATTTAAATATCCTTATGTGACATTTTATCATAGGCATCTCTTATAGTTTACCTAACTTCTCTTTTCTGTGGATCCTTTAAACTGGTTCCTGTTGCTAGTTGATGCAGGATTTGGCTCATGTGCTTGGCAAGTCTATCACCATATATTAAAATATATGCGTATACTTACTTATTTTTAATTATAAAATGTTTGCCAATTTACTTGATGTGTTGGCTTTCACTCCTCCTGTTCTTGGTAGTATTTCATGTTTCCTTGCTTTCCCATAGGAGAGAGAGAGAAAATAGTCATTAAAAACATGAACTCTGGGTCCAGGCTGTCTGGGTTTGGTTTAGTTCTATTCCTTTTTGTATATAATCCTGAGAGAGTACCTCACCCTTTTTATGTTCAAGTCTACAAAGTAAAGATTGCTATATCTGTTTTGGGATTATGAGTCCAGGCATTGTGGCAAGATTGTGTCTTTCCATTTACTGATTTCACATTTGTTTTATGGTGGTTTTGTGTATAGATTGCCATAAACTCCCTTTCTGCTTTCAACCTCCTTTGGTTGATGAATATCTTTGAAAGTTATAAACTGACTTCATAACACTTGGTGACTTTATTTTGAAAGTTCATAGATCCCCGCCTCCACTTGGAGCAGCAGGATTTACCGTCTTACAGATAACGTCAGCCTTGTTTAACTGTGTCTTAGAAATGCATACATGCAAACAGACTGATAGGTGGGATTTATTTATTTATTCACTTCTTTACTTATTAATTTATTATCTTTTGAGTCAGGGTCTCACTGTGTAGTTCAGGCTGGCCTGGAACTTACTTTGTAGCCCAGACTGCCTGGAACTCCTGAGATAATCGTCCTGCCTCACCCTCCTAAGTGCTGGGATTGCAGGAGTGGGCCACCATACCAGCTTGGGAGGTTTTGATGGATAGGTTTTAAAGGTCTTTGGTGACTTCTCTTGTAGCTGAACATTATTTTAAGTCTTTTTCATGGCATGTGTGACTCTGAGAAATCTGTCTCTGCCTGAGCTTTTGATTTCTCTTCATGTGGTTCCAAGGTCCTCTCCTCCAGCCCCATTAAACTGAAACTGGGCACCAGATTGTAGTGAGTATCTAAAAATCCTAGTACTCTGGTTTGCCTCTCCTAAGGCCTGGAATCAGCTGAAGTGCTAGTGTTTCCTTCTGGGGACTGACACAGGTAGAGGCAGTGAGGTTGCCAGCACACTCTGTGGAGTGGTGTGACCTCAGGGAAATAGTGGACTTCCAGTGGGGAATGTTTGATCAGAGTTTGTCAACTTAGTAGGGTTCCCCCTGCCTGTTGTACTTCCTCTTTGTTGTTTCCTGGGGAATCTCTTTCAGAAATAAAACCTATTGCACTTACTCTTTTGTCTTTCTAGGGTAAGATGCTGGAACACCACAACAGACGAAGCTTTCAGTAGTTCATTGCACCCTGCCCTAGAGAAGTCCAGTAATGACGTGTTCCTATGCTCTGTTTCTCCACTCTGGAATTCGTGCAGTTCATTTGAGAAACACTGACCCTCTGCTTATTATGACACATCTTCAGTGAAGGTCTGATGGACAGACCTTCTTTGGTGATTTTGTGGGTTTTATCTTTATGTGGAAGGTGGAAGACAAAGTGAAAGGGGCCAAAAGCTACCTGCTTTGGTGAATAACTTAGTTCTCAGAACATGGGCCCTCGTTTAAAGGTAAGGTAATAAACTGTGTTAAGAGTAGGTTATTTGGGTGTGGAACATGGATCCATGGAGAATACTCAGTTCCTAAGCCTCTTCAGCAGGAGATCGCTGTTAAAACACAGGTTGCACTGGGCATGGTGGTGCATGCCTGTAATCCTAGCATTCAGGAGGCTGATGCCAGGAGGATTACCACAAGTTTGAGACCAATAAGGATTGCCTAGTAAATCCATGACCCTGATCTATATAGCAAGACCCTATCTTGGGAAAAAAAAAAGAGAGAGAGACAGAAAAGAAAAGAAAGAAGGGAGGGAACGAAGGGAAGGAAAGGAAAAAGGAAAGGATGGGAAAGGAAAACTACAGGTTGCAGTGAGAGTTGATTTTGTTCTTGGCAGAGTAAGTTTGAATATGATGAAACCAATTCTACACTTCTGAGAAATGACTTTTTCACAACTGATTTTCAAGGTTGGAACTAAAATGTATTTGATACTATAATTATAAACTTTGTACTCCAGAAAAGCAAAAGATTTTAGAATATGTACATTAGTCAGCTTTTTAACATTCCCTTGTCACAGATATTTTCAAATATTTTCCTCCTTTGTGGACAGTGTAAGCCAGACTGCTGGTGTTAAGTAATTTGCCTGGCATCCTGCAAGTGAGCAAGTGCTATTTCTACACCAGATAACTGGTACTGCATTCCACTTCTCATTGTCATACTTTATTTTTATTTCAAGAGATAACAAAAGAGCCATAAAAGCTTATCCTTCTAATTTTATCTTCATTGTTATGCTTCCTTGCAGTTAGATGGGGTAATTTCTTTATACTTTATCTGTTTTCTTCAATCTGTCCTTTCCCCCAGTACTCGGCTCCCCTAATAACTTAGTTCTTTTTCATGAACCAGTATAGTGGTGAGATTAAGAGCTAAATGAGTTTGAGTCTCAATTGTCACTTAACCAGCTGGGAGACATTCAGTAACTTTTCTAAGTCCAGCCTTTTTTTTTTTTTTTTTAAATACGTAAAATGAAGATAATGCTTGTCTTAACAAATTGTTTTGTTTAATTATACTACTTAAGCTAACATGTAAAGTGCTTAAGGAAGTGTTTAGTCTATGATAAATGCATCATGAAGGAATAGAGAGTAATTTATTACTGCTGCTGTTATTCTAGTGGCTTAGAGTACCACCTTTTGTTAAATTGTATAAGGACAAGAACACTATAGAGATGAACTTAAATAAAATACAGTACTCATAAATTATATGAAATAGTATAATGGAGGCGTCACAAACTTTTATATGCTTCAATTAGAGTTTGAAAGAATTCCAATTAATTTTATACAGCAGAAAGTGAAGGTTACTATAGAGATGTAGAAAAATAAGCATGAGAACCCTTTATCCCCCTGGTATGCATGTTATCCACACTTGTTAAACTGAATTAAATTGGCAATTTTTGGTCTAAAGAGTTTAAATAAATATACTAGCTCAAGTAGACATATCACTAACTAAAAAAGTCTTTTAATAACTGTCCGTGGCAGGCTGGAGATATAGCTCCAGGGCACAACTCCTACCTGACAAGTGCAAGGTCTAGAGTTTCATTCTCAGTACAAAAAACAAAACAAAACAGAACACCCCATTATATCTGGGGCTATGAGTATAGCTCAGTAGTATAATGCTTATCTAATATATATGGCCCTGGCTTGAATCTCTAGCACCATTAAAAAAAAAAACAAAAAACAAAAAACAAAAAACTGTATCTGAAAGAAAGGTTCCATCTGTGAAATTCCTGACCCTTAGCATTCTGGACAAATCATGAACAGTAATATGACCCTATCCACTCAACAGATACTCATATGTACTCATAATTATTTCAGTTATTATATACAGTTTATATTGGGCACATTAGAGAATTTTGAAAGCTAGTCTTTGTCTCTTGTTATTTATCTCTCTGAAGTGAAAAACAAACCTGATTAAAAGATAGTATACAATAGGGGCTGGGGATTTAGCTCAGCGGCATAAGCGCCTGCCTTGCAAGCAGGCAGTCGTGAGTTCGATCCCTGGTACCAATAAAAAGGAAAAAGACAAAAAAAAAAAAAAGATAGTATACAATTGTTTTAAGATAAATATAAACAACATTGAGTGAAAATTCAAAGGAGGAAAGGAATTTTTCTCCACCCTCCGTCCAAAAAAGAGGAAAAAAGGCAAATTCAGAATATGACCCTGGAGAAAACTTAAGGAACATATATATTGTTTTCAAGCTGTTGTAGAGCAGTGGGACTTTTGTTAAGGTCAAATCAGTGAAGGATGAATTGACAGAGCTAACTCCTTAAATGTAAAGGAGTTTTTAAGAAACGAGGAGAGTCCTTTGGAGAAAAGCAGTAATTGATATGTTGAGTTTTAAATCATAAAGAGAATTGGAGAGGAAAGGTAGAATTACTGGAAAGGTCTAGGTGGTTTAGACAATCAGTAGTGATGATTTGGTTGAGAAATAAGTGAAGGGGTTTGGGAAATGGCCAAGGACTCAATAGGGTCAAACTCATTACCACTAATTTTGTGAGGCCTGGGACATCGGCTGTTGTTTCTACACCCTTCCCCTGGGGCCTAGCACATTAAGTAAGCATTTGATATTTGTCAGATGAATGGCTGTACAGTGAGTTTGTAACGCCTTATAAAAGTTTTTCAGATATCAAATTAGAATAGTATAAAGAACTCCCATTCAGACCAAGATTTTAGGTACAGTAAGAGAAGCCATCCACGCCTTATTTTTTCCCCTACTAAGTTGTCTCTTTACTTCAGTTGCTCTCATTTTAGAAATTTCAAGTGTGTGACTTCTGGTTTCTTTTGTGTCTGTGTGTTCTGGATTTATTGTGGGTGGGCTGGAGGTTTGAGATTGAACCCAGCTCCTTCATCCTCCAATCTGAAGTTCTCAGGATGGTGGAGTGGTATGGGGTGGCTGCTCATTGATGTTTCCCCGATGTGAGGCGGGGGGTTCAGGGGTTTGGCCTCTTTTCCTATCCCCAGTAGTATGCTGGGAGTGGGGCAGCCTTTTCTCTGAGCCCTGAGGTGGGCTCATGCAGAGGCGTGGCTTCTTGGAGCCCACAATGGCAGCCTTGTGGTAGGGGAAGTTGTTCTTTCTAATGAATTGACCATTACATTTCTAAAGTTCTGAAATGGCCAACAGACCATAGAAGGAGACCACTTTAGGCTCCTGCTTGAAACCAACAGCTTCAGAAAACTACCAGCCTTGTCGGGCATGGTGGCACATACATAGGTCCTAGCACTTGGGAGGCGAGGCAGGAGGATGGTTGTGAGTTCGAGACCAGCCTGGGCTACAAATGAGCTCAAAGCCTGCCCAAACCACACAGCAAGACCCTGTCTCAAAAAGACACACACACACAAAACAAACAACAAACAAACAAACAAACAAACCTGCCAGCCTTGATTCAGGGCCACCATCCGTACCTTTTTAATCCTCAGTACATTTCTCTTCGACAGAAATTTGGGCCTTAAAAAGAAACCCTACTTTCCACTGGGTCTGAAGCAAAGAAATTGTAATACAGATACTTCATAGATAACCTCGAGAATTCACTGTGTATGCTAGGCACAGTTGTAGGCTGTTAACATATGTTAGCTCATATAATTCTCACCTCAACCATGTGTTATTGTTTCTTTTCCCTTGCTTTGTTTCCCCTTCCCCTACTCCCTGTACCTTTCATTTGAACATTTTCTTCCTATTTCACAATATCTGATATACATTGTGGTCCTTATTTACACTTTCAGTTTCTCACAACAGAGAAACATGCAGTACTTACATAACCCATGTGAGTTGTATACAAATGTTGTACTCACTTGACACATAGGGAAACTGACACTTTATAGAGAAATTGAAGGACTTACCCAAAGTCACATTGTAAATGACAGTACGGGTATGAGCCCGGATAATCTAACCCTAGAGCAGTGATGACGAACCTTTTAGAGACTGAGAGCACGAACTGCAACCTAAAACTCATGTAGGTACCAGAAAGTGTAACGCTGCAGGTAAGCCTGAATATTGAGGAGCTCAGGCAAGTCAGGGCTAATGAGTCGCATCTCCTGTCATCACCTGGTGTGGCCACTTCTTTCCAAGCGTGTGCACATTCCCTCTGTACTGTTACCTGGTTCTTGGTTGTGGGGCGATGCTGGAGCGAGTTGGCTCACATGTGGACAGCGAGGACATATATAGGTTCGCCACCATGCCTGAAAGTCTTTGCCTTCATTCTTGTATTATACTATTTGTTACATTTTTTAATTTTAAAACCTTGATTGGTTAGAGAGTTACATCAAAATCATACCATGTTAAAAGAAATTGTACCACAGAAATTATTAAATCTTAACGCTTTTTACAGCAGCAAAAATTCCGAAACCTAGATAAGCCATACAGTTGCAGCCCTGGAACTGGTCCCTACGCTTCTGTCTTACGTGCTTGTCAACTGCCTCTCAAAAGAAAGGTTCTCGCAGTTATCAGGGACCATTGATGGGATTTTTCCAGGCCTTGGGACTTAAGCCATAAATTTGGCACTGCTCTAATTCCTCCAGGAGGAAAAGGCCTGAGACTACAAATCTATCCCATTAGTCACATGTACTTCATTTTCTGCTGAATGTTTTAACTTTCCTGAGGACCAGAAGTTTCCTATCCAGTTCACATTGGGAGGCATCTGGCTTAGGAAGTACCTAACGTAGTTAAACTGCTAGGTTTGGTCCCACTGAATCATCTAACACATCCTGAAAGGTGCAGACAGGTGCTTTTTGAGATATGGCAGCAGCTTGTAATATTTTTTATTTTTTAAATTTTATTTTGAAGATAATAAAAATACAACAGAACAAAGCCGATCGAGACAATGTAGTGAAACTGGTACAGAACTTCACAGCAAGATACTGGGATAGGGTGATAGATACCATAGTATATCCCGTTATCTTCACAATAGTTGTCTAGTCAATTAGGTATAGTGAAGTCAAACCAAAAACAGAACATTATAAAACCAATTGAAAGAGAGTATTGAATAGAGCAAGACAAACATAACAAAACAGTGAAAACAACCTTTGCCTTCAAACAGAAGATAGAAGGAGATCCCCCATATTTGCTATATTGCATATGTTCATCCTCCTCAGAGATGCTGAGACATCTTTTGCCAGTTGCTGGGGCGGGGGTAGGTGGCACCAATAGGCTCATGGGAGCTGCTGGTTTCCCACTGATGCCAGCAGCGCTTACCAAGAGGGCGGACGAATAAGCTGCCTAAGTCCTACTATGGCCGGATCTCGGGAGTGCTGGTTTTCCTCCTGGTCCACGCCAGGGACGCTTTCCAAGAGGGCAGGTGAATAAGCAGCAACAGCTTTTTAATATAGGGTCCTAGAAGATAAGATACTTGTTAGAGAAACAGGCTGAGTAGTTGTGATCCCAAAATTTGGGTCTGTGTATTGTCTGTAATAGATCCTTTCGAGAATACCTCAATTCACATGTGTTGAGCTAGACGTGCTGGGGCGCACCTATAATCCTTGCCCTTGGGAAGCTGAGGCAGGAGGATAGTTGCAAGTCCCAGACCAGCCTGGGCTTTAAAGCCAGCCTGAACTATAGTGAGATTCTATCTCTAAAAGACGAAAAAAAAAAATCATCTGTGTTGAGAATTGTAATGTTACTTTCCAGTAGGACTTTAGATACTAGCCTGAATAACCATTTCTCTAAAACCTGAGATGGTCATTCCTAAAATGTCTACTCTCTGTGGGTTTCAGTGGGTGTATTATTATCAGAGGAACTGAGGAGCCATTTTTTGTCTCAGATTTTTTTTAGCACAGTCATACATAAAAATGGACACTGCTAAAAAGTCATTTTGGCCTTCCTGGATCTAAGTCTCGAAATTGTCTCTTAAATAGTCTGGTGTTGGGCCAGGGTGCAGGGTTAGCTCAGCGGTGCAGTGCCTGCCTGGCAAGTGCGAGGCTCTGAGTTTGGTTCCTGGTACCAGAAAACAAAATAGTAAAAATAAGACCCCAAAAAAAAAGAAAGAAAGAAATATTCTATTGCTAATGAGGGTGCTAGGCATTGATACTTTCCTGAAAAGAATGAGTTCAGTACACTGTAAAATGGAGAGCATATGCAGCCCCTAAGGTCGTTCTCAGTGATGAAGTATGAGGTTCAACAGGACATTTCCTGGTGGTATCTTTGATGGTTCAGATAACCAAACAAATAATAAAGATGAATTGCCCAGCAAACAAACGTAAGCAACAGTTTTCCCTTAAACTCCAACCCTGGCAGGTATCACGTAGGATGACAACTACCATCTCCACCTTTTATTTCTCTCCTTAACCTTTCTGCTGAGTGTATTCTCAAGAGGGCTTCTTAGTCTGTCTGGTTGTTCATGATACAAATGATTTCTTTTACATCCCCACTGCTCATTATTGCCATGACTCAGAGCTCATTTTAATTATATTTTGCCAATAATATACTTATTTAATATTATTTGCCAATAATATACTTATTTAATAAAATAATACTTATTTTTTTTAAATGTGCATTTCATATAGCTGTTTCTGTTTAGCTGAATTACTTCCAGGAGGCAAATATTGTAAAAGGGAGAAAGTCATTCTGTTATCCTCTTTGCTTTTGTTAATTAGCAACATTTGGCATGTGAGAGAGAAATTGTCTTGGGACCCTGAGATCTAAGAAGATAAAAGCTTGATTATTGCGTTTCATAATTAGCAGTAAAGCATATGACTGGTTATGGTATTCGTAGGATGATTGATAGATTGGAAGTCTTTAGGGGGAGTGATGCAATATATGCAAGTATTCCTCTTGAAAAATTATTTTAATATTATCAAACTAAAGATGCCAAACAGTAAAGCTTTAGACTAAAAACATTTGGCTTAAGCCATATGCTTAGCTTTGTCTGATTCTGATACTGCTATAAGGAAAAGTTGCAGAAAAATTAAACAAGTTTTTTTTTTTTTTCTCAGCTGCAGCTGTGATCCTCGGCTGTCTGTTGGTATTGAAGGGACCTGATGTTTTACGTTATTGGTACGTTGTAAAGAAAGCTCTTTTATCTTTTTGTTATAATTTGCCTTGTTCCTTTTTTACTTTTCTGCCTATCCTTCTCCTTTGAAAATGAAGCAAGAAATATTTCCACTTGTGCCAGAATGTACCTTCACACAGTTGGCAGAGGAATTCATTCATTTGGGAAATATTTATTGAGTAATTAAAATCTGTGCCAGGCACTGTTTACAGTGGAATCTAAAGTTGAATAAGGCAAAAATTTGCCTTTAAGAAGTTCGTAACATGAAGGGGAACACAGTCAAAGCTGAGAGGTTGTGATAGATACAGGAGTTTGAGGGAGCCCAGAAGAGGGAATCTTAACTCCAGTGGGACTTGGGGAAGGCCAAGTGAACAAGGGAGGGAATAGAATGCTCATTCTTTTCACTGCTTCTGTGAATTCCTAGCACATGCAGGAGGGTAGGGCAGGGGAATATCACAGATCGTTCATGGTAAAGAAGAGGGTTAACAGGCTTGCTGTGAAAGGCTAGAATAAATACTTCAGTTTTGAAGCTATACAGTCCCCTTGGAACTACCTGGTTCTGCCTGTGTGATGCAAAAGCAGCTGAAGACAGTTTGTACACAAATGGCTATGGGTGTGTTCAGTAGAACTTGATTTTCAGAAACAGGCAGTGGGGTAAAGTTTGGCCTGAAGGCTGTAGTTGCTGACCCCTGGTCTGGAAGGCCCTGTCCTCTCGTAGATGTGGTGACCCAGTACAATGTTTTTTGGCAATCTTGAAATCTCATGCCGAATCCCTTTAAGTTCTGCGAAATGGTTAGCCTGTTCCACATTGAGAAACTAATGTGTAACTGGCAGGTGGTTTGTATGTTCTTTTACATAGGTGGAATCACAGTGTCTGTGGTTGCATTCTTCTTCACAATTAAGTTTCTCTTTGAGCTTGCTGCACGTGTAGTCAGCTTCCTTCAGAATGAGGACCGTGAGCGCCGAGGGGACCGGAGTATTTATGACTACGTGCGGGGAAATTACCTGGATCCCCGGTCCTGCAAAGTCTCCTGGGATTGGAAGGACCCCTATGAGGTGGGCCACAGCATGGCCTTCCGAGTGCATGTAAGGGAATGTTTCTGTCTCTGTACCCTTTGGGATTTCTGAGTCACTTGCTTTCCAGAGCTGTTTAGTCTTGGTGTTACTAGGTGGAATGTTAACAGTTTCCCTTGTTTTTCAGCCCTTCCTAGGAACTTGGGAATTGTTAGTATCTTAAAAAATCATGAATTTCTCCATCCTTTTGCTTCACTAGGTACTAAGCATTAGAGAAGTAAAAAGCTTAATGTTAACCTTTTCAAAGCAAAGAAAATGCTAGAAAAGAATAGTTGGCCAACTATATCTTGAGGGCCAAATTGGGCCCTCCTTCTAGTTCTTTAAATACATTCTTGTAACAAAGTTGCACCTATGCATCAAGTATTGACTTGCTGGTTTTTCACTGGAGTAGTTTGGACACTTGAGTAGCTCTGTATGATCATTTAGGCAAAAATATTTACTATCCGGCACTGTACAGGGAAACTTTGCTGGCCGCTGCAGTGACTTCTTTACATCACATCAAGCTTGTCATTAAAGCCTGAACTCCTCCACTTTTGCCTGGTGCTTTGGTTCACTCAGTGCCATTCCTGGTATAATAGAAAGGGCTATGAACACCGAAGAGGCCGAATTTGTCATGTTGGAATTGGTATGGTCTTGATTTATGGTACAGTCTATCCCATCCTCTGCACAGGTCAAGAATTTATTCATAAGTTAATGGTTTTCTTTAGTGTGCCAAAGGAATTTGTGTCTGTTTCTGTGTGCAAGGCTGTAAGAAGTGAGGTAGGCACTGGGGTTTACTGGAGTTACCTCAGCCACCAGTACCTCCTCTCTCTCCACATTCTCTTATGAGGAAAAATTTTCTCCTGTGATCATTAAGGATCGCCTCTCTTCTCTCCCTGCAGTTATTCTATAAGAATGGGCAACCTTTCCCTGCACATCGGCCTGTGGGACTGAGAGTTCACATCTCCCATGTTGAGCTAGCAGTGGAAATTCCAGTGACCCAGGAAGTCCTTCAGGAGCCCAATTCTAATGTCGTAAAGGTGGCCTTCACTGTGCGCCGAGCTGGGCGTTATGAAATTACAGTGAAGCTTGGTGGATTAAATGTGGCCTATAGTCCTTACTATAAAATTTTTCAGCCTGGTAAGTTTGTTATTCTTTTCCTTTTCTCTCTACTCTCCCGACCTTCTACCTACTACCACTCATCCATTACTCTCCCCCATTTCTTCTTTCTTTTGTCATTTCGTTTTCTGTTTTGTGGGATCTGGTGAGATTTTTTTTTTTTTTAATTTTTTTTTTGTACTGGGTATTGAACTCACAACCTTGTACTTGCCAGGCAGGCACTTACACCACTGAGCAAAATCCCTAGTCTGGGATCTAGTGAGATCCAACCAAGGCCTCATGCATACTAAGCATATGTTTCATCCCTCACCTACACCTCAGCTTCCCCTTTGAAATTTAATTCACATGCTATAAAATCTTTCTATTTAAAACATACAGTTTAATGGCTTTTAGCAGTTAGACAGCTATCACTATAGTCAACTTGAGGACATTTTCATTACCCCACAAAAAAACCCCAAAGTTAAGAACAGGAATATAGCTCAGTGGCATAGCCCCTACCTGGCAAGCACAGGGTCCTGAGTTTGACTCCCAATACTAAAAACAAAATAAAACTAAACCCCAAATTTAGGACTCATTTTTGTCACCAAATCCCCAACCCTGGATAATAGTCTCCTTCAGAAGGGTTGTGTTTCACATTTCATTTTAATATAGTCATAAATTTTATGATTAGCTAGTTGTACATAATACAATGCTTCTAAAGTTTATTCATGCTGTAGCGTGAATTCATGCATCGTTTCTTTTTATTGCCATATTATAGTGTTTCAGTTTACAGATACACCATATCATATTCATCCGCTCATGAGCTGATGGATATTTGGATTATTTGTGCCTCTGTTTTTTAAAGCATTACCTATGCATGTTACTGGAAAATCCACCCCAGGGCCTCATGCATGCTTATTTCCACAACTTGGCTGCCAAAAGTAATGCTACTATGAACATTTGCCTGCAAGTTTTAGTGTGGATATATGTTTTTATTTCTCTAGAAGTAGGATTGCTGTCTTTAGTCTGGTAAATCCTTAAGAACTGAGGGTACTAGGGTAGACAAAAGATAAATTTTTCTGATTTTTGAAGCCTTTTCAGGTAAAAAAGTATCTTGACCTACATTTTACTCTGCTGCCAATATGTTTTACTTCTCACTAAAGAGTGTCTGTCCACATGTCTGATATATAAGAATAAAGATCTTTATCTCTAATTTTTCCATCCTTCATGTTTTTATATCAGTAGCACATGTCATTGACATTGAGGTCCCAATGTATAATCTGTGGCTCTTGGTTCTATAACATGTATGTTCAGGGTGTTGTGGTCCTGTGTGCCCTCTGTGCCTTGCATGACTTTTCTTTTGAAGGTGTCCTTAGATACTAGTTATTTTGGTGTTTGCAGAATAATCCTTGGTTGACACTGAGAATCAAATCTTACTTTTTTTTTGTCTTTTTCTTTTTCATCGGTACCAGGGATTGAACTCAAAACTGCACACTTGCAAGGCAGGCGCTTATGCCGCTGAGCTAAATCCCCAGCCCCGAAAATCAAATCTTAATGGTTAGGGCCTTAAGAAGATTGGTGCATCTTTTTTTTTTTTTTTTTTTTTTAACCATGTGGCCCAGACTGGCCTTGAACTCGAGACAATCTTTCTGCCTTGGCCTCCCGAGTGCTGGGATTACAGCCATGTGCTGCCATGCCTGCTAGATTGGTATATCTTTGCCTGCCTGGTCCTCAGTTTTCCTTGCTTTATAGCAGAAGAAAACTCTGGATAAAGTAACTCCTGAGCTATGTCTTTCTCCCTGAATCTCCTTTACTTGAATGCCCCTCTCAGAGGTTCCTTTACACATGAAATAAGCTCACCTCCTAGCCACCAACGCAGAATAGTTTATATCCTTATAATATGTACTAGCCCTTTTTAAAATTCAACCTTTTAGACAGGCATGGTGGCACATGTCTGTAATCACAGCACTTGGAAGGCTGAGGCAGGATCACCATCACTTTAATGCCAGCCTGTACTATCTATGGAAGTGAAACCCTGTCTCAAAAAAAAAAATTAACTTTTTATTTCAAGATAATTACATATTCACAAGCAAGTATAAGAAATTGAGATCAGGTATACTCATTAGCTCGTTCTCCTAGTGATAATATCTTTCAAAACTATGGAACTGTACTGTAGTGATATGGTATAATAGCACAACCAGGTTTTGACATTGTTACAGTCAAGATATGAAACGTTTCCATCATCAAAAGGACCCTTCATTGCCTTTTGGTAGTCACTTCATCCTTTCCCTTACTAGCCTGTTTCTTAACCCCTGTCAACTCATTAATGTGTTGTCATTTGAAGAATGTTACAATATGTAACACTTTGATATAAGAATGATATAATATTTAACATTTGTGGTTGGCGTTTTTCACTAAGTAAAATTCTCTAGACATTCATCCATGTTGAAAATAATATCTTGTTCTTTTTTATTGATAATACTTTACTTATGAATGTGTTTTTAATTGTTCATTCATTGAAGAACATCTAGTTCATTTCCAGTTTGGGCCTATTTTGTTTTGTTTTGTTTTTTATCTTTTTGAAACAGTCTCCCTGTGCAGTTTGGACTGGCCTTGAACGAACTCACTGTGTAGCTCAGGTTGATGTGGAACTCACAGTGATCTTCCTACCTTAGCCTCTTCCGTGCTCGGGTTACAGGTGTGCCCCACCACACCCAACTAGTTTGAACCTGTTGTGGATAAAGCTGTTAATAAACATACATGAACAGATTTTTGTGCGTAAATATGTTTTCTCTTCATTGGTATAAATGTCTTAGTCTTATGGGAGTTTCTTCCTTAGTGTTTGAAAAAAAAAATGCCGAACTTTTCTGGGATGGCTGTAATGTTTTATATCTCACCAGCAATGTATGCCTGATTCAGTTTCTTCACATCCTTGTCAGCATATTTAATATTGTCACTTTTGTATTGTGGCCATTCTGAAAAGTGTGTATTTTTAGTTTGTATTTCTTCAATGGTTATTCATATTGAGTGTCTTTTCATGTGCTTATTTGTCCTCTGTGTCTTCCTTGGCAAAATGTCTCAAGTCTTTAGCCCACTTTCTAATTTTTTTCCCTACTGTTGGACATTGAGAGTTTTTTTATTTTGCATGCCTGGTTTTTTTTTATTAAATATTTGTTTTCCAAGTCTATGGTTTTTCCCTTAATAGAGTCTTTTACGGAACAAGTTTTTAAATTTTACAGTCTCATTTTATCTATTTCTTTTTCTTTTATGGTGTCTAAGATTCTGATTAGTCCAGATTCCAAAAATTTTGTTTTTTCTAAAATTTTTCTGCTTTTACATTTTATGCTTAAGAATCACATCCCTTTTCAGTTAGTTGGACTGTGTGTGTGTGTCTGTGTGTGTGTGTGAAAGTGTGTTTTGCTTATATATGTCTAGTTGTTTCAGCATCATTTGTTGGAAAGGCACATTTTTCCTTCTCTGTAGTGTTTTCTACCCTTTGTCAAAACTCAGTTGGGTAGTTTTTCTTTTCTTTTCCTTTTTTGAGACAAGCTCTCACTCTGTAATTCAAGCTGGCCTTGAATTCCCCATGTAGACCAGGCTGGCCTCAAATTCACAGTGATCCTTCTGCCTCAGCCTCCCAAGTATTGGGATTATAGGTGTGTGCCACTATGCCCTGCTAGTTGGGCATATTCTTAATAGTCTAGTTCTGGATTCTTTTCCAGTGACCTCTGTCTGTCCCAGAGCAATACCATATAGTAAGTCTTAAAATTCATAAATTGGCTGTTTGTATTTTATTCTTTCCAAGAATGTTTTAGCTATTCTGGTTTCTTTATTTTTCCTTGTAAGTTTTGGGGATAATATTATCTAAACCTATAAATAATCCTGCTGTGACTTTAATAAGAATTATGTTAAACCTATGTATTGTTTTGGGAAGAACTGACCCTTATCATATATTAAAGCTGCCAATTCACAAACATTTTTTCATTTAGGATCACTTTTATTTTAATTGCATTTTGAACCTTTTTCAGCATACAAGTCTTGTACCTGTTTTGTTGGATTTCACCTCTTTAATGCTTTTTTTCCTCTTTGTTTTTGCTGTTGTTCGGCACTTACTTTTGAGATCTCACAAGCAGGTTCCTGAGACTCTAGCACCCTAGCACCGTGTCTGGAACTCTCACTTCTGCTTCCTTCGGTTCTTTTTCTCATTGTTTAATCCTGGTAATGGTTAAAAATTTATAAAACGGAGTCCCAAAGTTCATTTGAATTCATCTGTTTCCTTTTTTCTTCTCTCTTCTTCATAGTGTTTTATGCCAAGGAATCAAGAAAGAATCCAGCTGTAACTCACTAAGAAGATGTGTGTGTCCTAAGGATCACCTGTTCCATCTTTCTAAATGTTAGATTCTATTGTCTATTCCAGGAATGGTGGTTCCTTCCAAGACCAAAATTGTGTGCCATTTTTCTACTCTTGTGTTGACCTGTGGGGAGCTACACACCCTTCAAATAGTACCCCGAGATGAGTATGACAACCCTACCAACAATTCTACGTCCTTGAGAGATGAGCATAATTACTGTTTGTCCATTCATGAGGTAAGTGGCCCCCTTCTTTCTCTTGTGTGCTAGGGAGAGCAGGCTCACCCTGAGTGCTTACCCCTTCTGATTCAGTCCTATCACTTCTCTCCTCACATTCTGCTACAGTACCTAACAGTACCTGCTTCATTAGTAATTGTGAGACATAGATGATAGATGAAGTTTTTTTGTAAAGAGTAAATTGTCTTGCAGATAGGGAAACTTCTTAAACTAAGTATAGTTTGTTTTCTTCCGGTAGCTAGGTCCTCAAGAAGAAGAGAATACTGGAGTTGCATTTGAGAAGTCAGTGACATCCAACAGGCAGACCTGCCAGGTGTTCTTGCGACTCACCCTCCATTCTCGAGGTTGCTTCCGTGCTTGCATTTCATACCAAAATCAGCCAATCAGTAATGGAGAATTTGACATTATTGTCCTAAGTGGTGAGTTGAAAGCTGTAATTTAATCCTGTTCCCATGGCCATTTCTCTTTTGTATATGTGCACTACTAACTTGATAAATGTTTTGATATTTGGATTATACGTGGCTTATTGTGAACTGAATAACTACCAAAAGATCATTTTTTTTCCTCCCCTGATTCCTTACTTTCATTCTGCTTCAGAGAATGAGAGAAATATCGTTGAACGCAATGTGTCCACTTCAGGAGTGAGTATTTACTTTGAGGCTTATCTTTATAATGCTACCAACTGTACCAGCGCACCATGGCACCTTCCACCCATGCATATGAGCTCTTCACAGCGCCGGCCCTCCACTGCTGTGGAGGAGGAGGATGAAGACTCACCTTCAGAGTGCCACACCCCTGAGAAAGTGAAGAAACCAAAGAAAGTGTACTGCTATGTATCACCAAAGGTTGGAACCCCCATTCTTGCCTTAGAAGACCCATTCCTGAGCATGCATGTAATTGGTATTTGGTAACAAACCACAAAGTAACAGTCTGAGTGTTACTAGGGTGCGATCATCCACTTGTAGGAATTCTGGGACACGTGAGGACTGCTTAAAGGGATGTAGAAGATTATGCCACCTCTGCTGATGCAGATGATTGGTTTGGACTAAACTAAATCTCTGCCTAGAGGTTCTGTATGTCTTGGCACTACAGGACACCGGTGCATTCTGCCCTTCTATTATGTTGGGGAAGATTTTAAAGGCATGATCCTGAGAGTTTGAAAGAAAGCTACATTTAACCATTAAAAAATTCTCGCTAGAATAAATTTGCTGTTTATCTCTTGTTCTGTAGTGAAACGATTTGATGTTTTATTCTGTGATTTGTGAAATCACTGTAAATGGATGTTGCTATCAGGCTACAGGATTAGAATAAAGAAATTTTGGCAGAGGGAAGAGGGTGAACTTCCCAAGCCCCAAAGCTCAGAGGTGCTTTGTGTTAGAAGATTTGAGCATTTGTACTTTTCCTGTTCATTCAGCCCACATAAAAATGAAACTATTGAACATCCCTTTAATCTCATAACCAAAGCTGAGTTCAAGTTCTGTTACATTTTTCTGTGTACATTCTTCATTTTTAAAAATCTAGCATTCCTGGTACCGATAAAAAAGAAAAAGACAAAAAAAAAATCTAGCATTTTTTGAACTAGGAAAAATGGTAATGAGGGAAATGGATGGGGTGAATAAGTGAAACAAGGTTGGCTCTGAACTGATCATTGGGGGGAAACCGTTCCACCTCATGTCCAGATAATAGTTTGTGGTTTTTGTTTTTTTTTTTTGTCTTTTTCCTTTTTATCGGTACCAGGGATCGAACTCACAACTGCCTGCTTGCAAGGCAGGCGCTTATGCCGCTGAGCTAAATCTCCAGCCCCTGGATAATAGTTTTTGTTTTGTTTTGTTTTTTAGACTTACATATTATTTTGTTTTCTTTTCCCCTTTTATAAATGGCATAAGGTCTTCCTTTATCTTTACATGAGATATTCTGGTGAACTTTTTTGTGAGCCTCCCTGTCCCCAGCACTCTACTTTACCCTCCTCATTCCCTCAGCTTCTTGTCTCCCCATTTCTGGTAAATCCTTAGTACCATCCAAGTAGATTAAAAAAAAAAAAAAAAAAAAAAGACCTAGTAAGTATTGGCTACTGGTATACCATCTGTAGTCCTGGAAGAGGCTATTCTGAGCAGCACCAAGCCGAGCAGGAAAGTTTGAGGTGAATGTTCTCTTTCCCAAAGTGAAAACCTAATTGTAGGTATTTGAAAGTTTTAAGTAAGTTATTAGTAAGACTTGAATATTAAGATTTTGAAATGCCTCTGTGAAACCGGAGTGTCAAAATAGTATTTTTGTATTTGCTCTTTTAAAGGTAGAACTGACATTTATTTTAGTACTCACTAAATTGACCCTTTTTGTCCAGGCAAGAAAAGAGATATTGGGCTGGGGATTTAGCTCAGTGGTGTAAGTGCCTGCCTAGCAAGCACGAGGTTGTTGGTTTGATCCCCAGTACCGCAAAAAAAGAAAAGAAAAAAAAGAGACATCATGAAAAAATTTAGATAGATACTCCATCATTGTATTTGAATCCCAGTATGCTGTGCTTGAATTGTAATACCCAAATAGGAGCTTTTTACCTACCACTAACTTCATTTTCTGTATGTTGGTCTTCCAGCAGTTCTCAGTGAAGGAATTTTACTTGAAAATCATTCCCTGGCGCCTTTACACTTTCCGAGTATGCCCAGGAACTAAAGTAAGTTGATCATTACATCAGAGCCGTACTGACCACACTTCACCTCTGGGATGTTTCAGCCTTTTCTTTTTTCCCAGAGGGCTTTCAGTGTTTCTGGAAGTTTTTCCTGTGCACACAAAATTTACTTCCAAATAAAGAAAGAATCAATATCTTCTCACTAAATGGCACAAAGAATCTGTAAATCTTAGAAGGACCTTACCTGCAGGTACAGGAATTAATAACTCACAACGCTTCGCCAGTTACTTTCGGTTTCCAGGATTAAGTTTATAGAAGGGGTATTGATTGGTAACACTGGCCTAAACTTAATCTCCCAGTATGATGAGTCTTATTCTTTCTCAGAGTTTTCTTTTACTTTTCTGGCTTTTGGAATGTAAACTTTTGTCTAAAAAGTTCACCCGTGTTGTTTTATAAAAGTCACTTTCTCCTAGCCAGTTTGCACTAAATTGTGTTCTTTTTATATATGCTTAGTACTTTTACCCTTTTTATATTTTGTCAGAAGGTCTGTAGTATATTGCCTGTGATCCTTAAAGGCAGTTTTGGAGGCTCAAATCATGTAGAATAAAATTTGAACTATAGAACATTGAAGTAAAAAAAGAGAGAGAGAGATGCTTGTGGTAGGTAGTAACGCAGAGAAAACAGGTTTATCATGTTTTTGTTGATTAGCACAGAAGGAATTTGGTAATATGGAAGATTTTTATTTACTCGAGAGTTTTATAAATTAACTGCTTTTTTCCCCACTTATTAGTTTTCATACCTTGGCCCTGATCCTGTTCATAAACTCCTCACACTGGTGGTAGATGATGGCATTCAGCCTCCTGTGGAGCTCAGCTGTAAGGAGAGGAACATTCTTGCGGCCACTTTCATCCGCTCCCTACATAAGAACATTGGTAAGATTGGACAGGGGTTTCGATTGAGGAGGCAGCAACCCCTGCTCCCCTAGGCCCATGAAAGTGTAAAGGCATGTCACAGGTAACTGCTAATAAGGCTGTAATCACGATGGGTCTTGTGCTCCTCAGGAGGCTCTGAGACCTTTCAGGACAAGGTGAACTTTTTCCAGAGAGAACTCCGGCAGTTACACATGAAAAGACCACATTCCAAAGTCACCCTGAAGGTCAGCAGACATGCCTTGTTGGAATCGGTATGTAAAATTTCATCTCTGTTAGCAGATGCCAGAATTTTCCAGTCTCTTTTAGTATTTGGTTGTATCCTGAGAGTTATCTTTTTAATGAAGCCCTAAGTCTCTCTCTTTAAAATCCATTATAGGCTGTTTTTATTTGTTTGTTTGTTTGTTTTCTGTTTAATTATCCCGATACTAGGGCACATATGTTAGAGGTGTGTTACTGAGTGAAAGCTGAGTAGTATACTGGGTTTCAGGTCTCTGGAGAATTAATTAAACAGTTTTCTGTGTAGGGAGGTATAGTGGTTATGGAAGAAAGTTCCTGCTATTGACTCCGTGGAATAGAAGGGCTCTTGTTGTAAAAAGGAAGTGATTTTGTTGTCACTCATGTCTGATGGAAAAGGAACACCTGATGTGTGTCTGTCTCCACTGCACAGACACTGGCATGGGTCTGACATTCCCCAAGAATGAGAAGGATTGGTCCCTGTCCAGAAAGTGTTTGTGGTGTTTGGCTCTGGTAGGTGTGACTGGAAACCCCTGTTCTCAGCCACACTCACCATGTGGCATGGCTCCCTGTCTGAACCTTGCATTGTGCATTAAGACATCTAGCAGATAGATTCTACTTTACTGAAAACCAGGACTCCTTGGTTCTCTTGCTTACAGTTTCCTGACGTCAATCATTTTTTTTACTTTTGGCAAGAATTTTTTAATTAATAAAATGAGCATTGTCTTAAAAAAAGACCAACTTAGCTTTCCAATAAAGTGACAAATTACAGTTTCTTTTCATTGTAAGTTTCTTCCAGAGTTATGTACATTTTAAGTGTAAGAGGATATTATTAAAGCTTCCCTGTAATATATCTCCTTCATTAGTAGAGGCTAGCTCAGCATGCAGTAGTGGCAGTGTTCTTGTGCACGCCGGCGGTCTGACAGTTTCCTTCCTTTCACTGCTTTTCAGTCTTTGAAGGCCACTCGAAATTTCTCTATCTCAGATTGGAGCAAGAACTTTGAAGTGGTTTTTCAGGATGAGGAAGGTCAGTTTTGAAATTTAATTTTTTTTTTCTTTTTTTGTCATTTTCCTGTCCACTTCCAACCTCTCTCTTACTCCCTTTCCACAGGGGAGGAAAAAAAATACCCACTCATGTGCCTGTTCCCTGAAACAACCCTACTTCCATATGTCAAGAAGAAAAAGAAAAAAGTAAAAAAAATCGCTGACTAGGAGCATAGTAGAACTTGTAGAGCAGAGACATGGGAGCCAGAGGGAGAGGCCTTGAATCAGAGGCAGGGTAACCGTTATGCAACCAGGAGAACCATTCATTTGCTGAGATCTCTTATCTCCTGTGTGTCCATTAAGTTAGTGATCACAGTAACTTCACTCCTACAGAAAGGGATGGAATTTTTAAAAAATGCATACGTGAGCTGTAAAGGAAAAACAGTAGAGTGATAGAATAAAGGAAATGTAACAACAGTAAAATGGTGGCTAAAGGAACAAAATGGAAGAGGAGGTAAGCACAGGTCACCTTTATTTTCATTATGCTTTTCAGCTCTTGACTGGGGAGGGCCTCGTCGGGAATGGTTTGAGCTAATCTGCAAAGCACTCTTTGATACCACCAATCAGCTCTTCACCCGATTCAGTGACAACAACCAAGCATTAGTGAGTCTGTGACTTCCCCATGGGTGGGTGGTAAATGTGGATTATGTTATAATTAATACACAAGGGTTTGAAGTTTTGAAACCCTGGGAGTCTGAAAATTCATGTCCTGTTCTTAATTTGCTACTTACAATGTGAGCTAATAAGATTGTCTCCCTCCTTTTTGCCTTCATTATTTTATCTGTAAAACAGAAAAATGCAGACAGTTGAATTTTTGATGAAAAGGCAATGTAGTGCAGTGGTTGCTTTACTACTTACAGTAATTAAGCCACTTTCTCAAAAAATGCCTGAGGCAGTTCCTACTGTGCCAGATTACTGTTGAGTAAAGGAGTAGGAGTTAGCTGAAAGAAGTTCTAGGTTGTAGAGAAGATGTCATATCATTCACTGATTAACTTGCACATGCAGCTAAGCACAACAGATTTACTCCAAGATTATTTAGCTTAATAAGACTTCATTGTTGCCTTTCATCCTTCATTCACTTTGCATTACTCATTGTGTATCTATCAAAAGACCAATGTTACTTAGGTGGGCTTTTTGATTGTCAGAAATTCTTGCTTCCTTGGCATGATACGTTGGTTTTCTGCTACTGTAACAAATAGTTGCAATAATTAGCTTATAAAGAGAAAAAGTTTATATTGGTTCATAGTTTTGGAGGTTTCAGTCCATGACCAATTAGTCTTTTTTCTGGTCCTGTGGCAAGGCAGCACATCGTGGCAGCAGTGTGTGTGACAAAACCATTCATCTCATGGCCAGGATGTGAAGGAAAGAGAAGAAGAAAGCAGAATCACAGTCTTCTTTGGGGCCCTGTGCCCAGTGACCTAAAACTTTGTACAAGGCCCCACCTCTTAAAAGTTATACTTCCTCTGCATAATGCCATGGACTGGGGACCAAGCTGTTAATGCATGGAGACATTCCAGGTCCAAACCATAGCACATGAGGTTGGGGAAGGAAGGTTTTCCAGAGCTAAACTTGAAGAAAATTGAGCCTGGGCCTTTCATTTTCTTTCTTTGACAGGTGCATCCCAATCCTAATCGCCCAGCTCACCTGCGCCTGAAGATGTATGAGTTTGCGGGGCGGCTGGTAGGCAAGTGTCTGTATGAGTCCTCTCTAGGAGGAGTCTACAAGCAGTTGGTCCGAGCTCGTTTCACCCGTTCTTTCCTGGCCCAAATCATAGGACTACGAATGCATTACAAGGTAACCTGTTAGTTGTGCATTTTCCACTGAGGGTACCTGGCCATTAACTGGGATCACTCCACCTGAGCTGATGGGGTTTCTTTTGTGTATGTGCATGTGAGTGGGGGTGGGGGGGTGTTGTGTTCTGTTTTTGGTGTTTTGAGGCAGGGTCTCACTGTGTAGTTCAGTCTGGCCTCAAATTCATGGAAATTCTCTTGTCTCAGCCTCCCAAGTATTGGGATAACAGATGTGTACTTCCACACCAGCCTGAGCTGATCTTTCTTAAGGTTGAATGGATAATTGGCTCCCCCTCAGTTACAAAGTTTCATTTCTAGATTAGATAGTGTTCATGTTCTGCTCTATGTCTTTCTCCTCAGTACTTTGAAACAGATGACCCTGAATTCTACAAATCTAAAGTTTGTTTTATTCTCAACAATGACATGAGTGAGATGGAACTGGTCTTTGCAGAAGAAAAATATAACAAATCAGGTCAACTGGATAAGGTGAGAAGGAGCAAAGCCTGTATGAGTCCTAGTCTGTGTTCCCCAGCTCCCTCTAGGGCAGCACTGTCTCTAGAACTTTCTGTAGTGATGGGATGGTTTTGAATGGGTGTTATTTATTTAGGTTCAGAACATGGTCAGCATAATCAAATAACTGAATTTCTCATTTCATCTTAAATTTAAATAATGACCTGTGGCTAGTGGCTTCTGTATTGCACGGTGCACCTTTAGAGTATTACATCAGTGCACCATTTACAATTGCAGCCATTTTTTGAGGCAGAGGGGCTGCTAGGGATTGAACCCAGGGCATCACATGCTTAGCCTGTGCTCTTCTGCTGAGCTATATTCCCAACTTTGATCTCTGCCCATTTGAGTAGAGTGAACGATACCAGTACCCATCTATCCCATACATTCTTACTTTCCAGTTGAAAAATAACTGAGGCTGGGGATTTAGCTCAGCGGTATAAGCACCTGACTTGCAAGCAGGCAGTCGTGAGTTCGATCCCCAGTACCGATAAAAAAAGAAAAAGACAAAAAAAAAAAAAAAGAAAGAAAGAAAAATAACTGAGTGATAATGAAAATGTCACTGCTCACGGATGGCATTGTTTGTGTCAACAATTACACAAGTGAGGTAGATGATTCCTGTTTAACATAGTCCTTATGCATTAGGAAGTTATTGGCCCAATGTATTTTTGATTTAAATGTTTTTATATTTGTATTGTGGGATTAAATAATGTAAGATGATTTAAAGCTGCAACAATACCTACTAAAAAGCAAATTAGCAATGACTGAAATGTCTGACTAGCAGTACTGTTGTACTAATGACCAGGTTTCTTTGCTGGAGATTATGGGATTGCTGCTACTTACCTTCACACACAGAAGATCAGAGCCTTTCTTCAAAAACTGGCATAACAAAACAGCTACTCAGTAGAAGACTAAGAGAAAGCATGACAGGAACAGAATGTTATTCCACAGCAAGAATTTTTAATGAATTTAAAATGTAGATTTAGATATGATTTGTTCCTATTATCCAGGTTATTTAGGAGGCAGAGGCAGGTAGATTACAAGTTCAAGGCTAGTCTGGGCCATCCTCAGAATAGGATAGGATAGAATAATAAAATATAGAATAAAGCTTGGGGATGTAGCTTAATGATAGACTGTTGGTCTAGTATTCACAAAGCCTTGGGTTCAGTCTCTAGTACTACTAAAAGACAATTACAACTTTTTTCTATTATTATGGGTAATTCTGGATATTTAATATGAATAAGCATTCTATTTAGCAGCTAAAAAAGTAAATTATTACTATTTAGTAGTCACATTAAGCTTAATTAAAATGAGCCAGTATGTTGTCACCAAGACCTTAAAGTGTGATCTTGCAGCTAAAGGGAGGCTTTCATTCTCCTGTGGAGGCAATTCTGGTCCCTGTGTGCAAATGACCAAGGCAATGGTTTTCTGGTCCCTGTGTGCAAATGACCAAGGCAATGGTTTTAAGCTGTGCTTGAGGGCGTCCTCAAATGTCCCTTAAGAATTGTCATGGAGGAAACTAATTGTATTTGAGACTCATAGCATGTTTAGCTTTTTCTTCCCCAATAGGAAAATCAAGGACCCAAATAGTTACATATTTGAAGTTTTGTAGCAAGTTAACATCAGGGCTGGGATTAGCATCCAGAATCTCTAGACCATGATCTTTCTATTGATTTACTTTGGAGATAGAAGAATCTATGGAAACAACTACCCATCTCAGAATTTCTGAGACATAAAAGGACTTCTTTGAGAAGTTGTCAGTGGTAGTTTAATTTTATATGCTACATTAAAGTATTGCTAACAGGGAACCAACCATAGTACTTTCCTATTGCACCATTACTGCTTAACGAGGTCAGAGAAAGCCTCACCCAGACACACTTTAGTCATAGTAACTACTGGGGTTAGCAACAGTGCTGAGAGCCTTGAAGCTTAATCGTGAAAAATAAAAGCAAAACTAAAAGCCACATGTATTGCTAACACTGTTTAATTACACTGTTAAGAGGAATGTAGCAGACAGCTACCATCTTACAGTCTTTCAACCACAGTCTCCTTGTTTTTCTTTTGCCTCCTGTTTCAGGTTGTAGAACTCATGACAGGTGGAGCTCAAACCCCAGTCACCAATGCAAATAAAATCTTCTATTTAAACTTGTTGGCCCAGTACCGGCTGGCCAGTCAAGTGAAAGAGGAGGTGGAGCATTTCCTAAAAGGTGGGAGGCTGTCTCCTTTTGACCTGGAGTTAAAATGGCTGTATCCATGGTACAACTGTAGCTTAACTTGGCTACCTTGTTTCAGGCTTGAATGAGTTGGTCCCTGAGAACCTTCTGGCTATTTTTGATGAGAATGAGCTTGAGGTATGTTGGAACTAGCTTGCTGCACCCTCTGTTACGAGGTACACAAGAAAACCCTTTATGAAAGAATTGGGTTCACTTCTGTCACCTATACATATTTGACCCTTTATTTAGCTTCTTTAAAAATTAAAATGTGAAAATCAGAAAGCAGCATGTAGCTATTTGTGAAAAGTAATAACATTCATTTGTTCATTAACTATTACTACTACTGCTGGGTACTGTATACACCCCTGTAGTCCCAGCCCTCAGGAGATTGAGGCAGGATTGCTATAAGTGTTAGGCCAATCTGGGCCACATGGTGAGTTCAAGGCCAGCCTGGACTACACAGCAAAAAAGTGTGTCAAAAAAGTTTAAAAAAAAAAAAAAGTGTTATTACTAGTAAAGAATATTGGTATCATGTATAGTTTTCATAAAAATTTATCCCATTTAAGAAAATAATAGGATTTATTTATTAGATATCGAGTGCTTCCTATATACCATTCGTGTTTTGAGATGCCAGAAAGATGGCAATGAATAAAACCAAGTTCCAGCCCTCATGATTGCTGTGTTGTAGTGGAGGAAACAAATCAAAAGATGTGATTGTATTTCACAATTTTGGATCACAACATATATTTTTACAGACATATAACAAATTCTTATTTCAGACCCTCTAACAATCAAGAGTGGCTATAAGTAAATACTGTACTTAGAGTTAGCTGAATTAAAATCTCTTAAAAAAATCTCAAATGCAGACAAAATATTTTATTTTTGCTTGCTGATACAGAGTACAATTTATTAGTTTTAACTTTCCATAACTTTTATGAGGAATGATTTCTGTAGAGAAGTTCTTTAAAAATGGAGAGGAAAGTTGCTTCATGTGAACTTGTGGAATTCTTATAAACTATATTTTAGAATAAGAATCAAGATCTTCTGCAATTTTTATCACCTTTTGTATATAATGGTATAAAATCCAAAAAAAATACGTGAATGTGTCACCTAAGTTTCTGATAATCCTGTCACCTTTTGCTGTTGTTTTGGAGAAATGACGAATAGCTTCTACTATATTTTGTTTTATCATGAAACAAGTATTTTAATAATGTAGAAAAAGTAAGAAAAGAAAGACATACTATAGTCTCTTAGTAGTTTCACATGCTACTCATAATCACTCATTCACCTAGCAAGTTGTTTTTGGAGGAAGTAGGGCTCCACAGGCTTAATTTGGGCTTTTTTCGTCTCTTGATCAGAAAGTATCATTCTTCTTGCTACTAGCTGAGTACTCACACTCTAGTATACTGGATCCTGAACCAAATTGGGACATCAACAAGATCTTTAGGGCTCTGGTGTCATAAATGTCTGGGTTATTTTGATATAATTTTTAGTTTATCTTATTAAGGAGAAACAAGGCTCAAAGGAAGGTAGTAGTTTAATCCATAAAAGGAGACTTCCTGGGGAAAAGGAAAAACTGTTTAAAAAATTCATAAATCTTCATCAAAGGAAAAGGATTTTCTGTTTTCCCTGATATTTCTAGGCTGAATCCAGAACAGATTTTTGGTATATTCTTAGTTTCTTTTTTTTTTTGGCCTTTTTCCTTTTTATCGGTATCGGGGATCGAACTCACGACTGCCTGCTTGCAAGGCAGGTGCTTATGCCGCTGAGCTAAATCCCCAGCCCCTATACTTAGTTTCTTTTTTTGTCCTTTGTTGCAATTAAAAAGAATCCATAGCAACAGTTCTTAATTAGAGGTGTTCATCAGAAATAACCCAGGAAACTTTTTCATGTTATATGTTTATAACTCAAGAGATTCTAATTCAGTAAGTCTAAAATAGGGCATGAGCATCTATCTATCTATCTGTATATCTATATATCTATATCTATATATATATATATATTTTTTTTTTTTTTAAACAGTGGATTTTTACCACTGGTTAGCAACCATTGACCTATTACAGTTGATTTCCCTAAAACAGTCTTCGCACTGTGACCTCAACTGTCTTTTCCATGGTGTTGTCTTTATTTTGTATTTTTGTGTTAACATGGATAATTCTGACTGTATAGCGAATCTTGGTCCTCTGGCTGTTCTAGTGACACATGATCATCTTTTTCCAGTTGCTGATGTGTGGAACTGGAGACATCAGTGTGTCTGACTTTAAAGCCCATGCAGTAGTTGTTGGTGGTTCATGGCATTTCAGAGAAAAAGTAAGTATGCCAAATTTCCATCAGTTGGATTTGTGCCTTGTTAGGAAAAGGTTTTAGAAGAGAAAGATAGAAGACCCAATCAGACATGTTGACTGGGAAAAAATGATAACAGGTGGGACAGACAGGTGAGTTACTAGGCAGAATGGAACTCTGGTTCCTGATGGCTATTACACAGACTGCCACAGGAGCAGTAAATTGAAAACACAAATAGAACCAAGCAATCAGCAGTCACACCTTGACTGTATGACAATGTAGATACCTTGTTTGTCAGCTCTGACCATTCCTATTTCTGTCCTCATAGAACTATAAACTGGGACATAGCCCAACTTCAGGTTGTCTTATCCCTTACCTGAAGGTTCAAAAGCTAGACTACTACCATCTGTGATTTCAGCCTTATGCTCTTCTGCCAGGTTATGAGGTGGTTTTGGACTGTGGTTTCCAGTCTAACCCAGGAGGAGTTGGCTCGTCTGCTTCAGTTCACAACAGGTTCTTCTCAACTACCACCTGGAGGCTTTGCTGCCCTCTGCCCCTCATTTCAGATTATCGCGGCTCCAACCCATAGCACGCTGCCTACTGCTCACACGTGGTAGGTATCTGACTGCCTAATGCATGCCCTTGTGGGAGATTATCTTTCCAGTTGTTTCCAGTGTTTCTGGTAGTATGAGTTAATCACTTCTCTTGCCTTTCCAGTTTTAACCAGCTGTGCCTCCCTACGTATGACTCATATGAAGAGGTGCACAGGATGCTGCAGCTGGCCATCAGTGAGGGTTGTGAGGGCTTTGGCATGCTCTGACCACTCTCCTGTTGCCAGCTTGGCACCCATGTTCTCTGGAACATCTGGGCGCATGTTACAGACATAATCACTGACCCTGACATGCATAATCATCAGCCAGAAGATGCCGCATGCTTCCGTCTGTCTGGATTCTTTTGTCACCTACAAGCCTTGTCCTTACCTCACCCTTCCCTGCCCACATGCAGCACAGGCCACTTTGGCATGGTACCTAAACTGAGCTCTCCAATGGCTAATGAGAAAAAGACCATGCTCCTGTCATATGATTTTGTTCTTTGAAGATTTCAGAAGCTGAAGAGTCAGCCTCAGTGGCTAAAGATAACACACCCGACTCAGCTCTGTTGGGAAGCATATGTGCGGAGAGTCTTAAGTCATACCTGTCTTTAGCTCCCTGTGCTGATGCTCCTGGAAGGTTCCCTCTTGGCTCCCACTGCTGGGGCAGGTGATTGTTTCTTCCCATCAGCAGCCAGGACAAGCACAGAGAGAAAGTGGTCCACCTGAGAAGTCTTTGATTTTCTTTGCCCATACAATGCAGACGCAGACCATGGCACTGCATTACCTCTCATGAGAACTGATGGCACAAAGGAAATTTTTATATTATTTCCCTTTTCTTTCTTTTTAATGTCAGAACTGGAAAAAACACTTTCCCTGCAGGCAGTTCTGGAAATGATCATTAATCCATAAAGAAGAACTTTGTGAGCTTTTTCTTAAATTTGAGCCATGAAAAAAGCAGTCAGACAAGATGTGAAGGACAGCTGGGCTGTAGCCTGCAGTGTAGAACATAATTCTTACTTAGAGTGAGGGTTATGTCCAAGCACATGGCTGACTTGAAGACTACTAATGCTTTCCCTGAGTTTATTCTTTGCACTGACGTGTGTCTTGGCCTGCCCATTGACCTCCAGGTTATAGTCTTAACATCTGGAGAGTCTTTAGCATTCTGCTGAAGAAAGTTTGATAGCAGAAGCGTGGGACAGTAAGAACATGCCAGCAACTCCTTATCCTGCTTAGTGTTCCCTTACAGCACTGAGGCAAGGCCAAAATGATCACAGGTCCCTGGTCAGGCCACATAGGGCACAGAATGGAGGAGATATGTTAGATAGAAGATAACTACTCATCGCAGGTACTTCCCTTGACTACATCAGTTACCAGGAAGGGGAGCCATACAGGGAGGAAGCCACTGTTTTATTAAGTTCACTATGGAGTATTGATTGAAATGAAGCTACCATCTCTTAGAAGATGAGAACATCTTTTTTCATTACTCTTTGAATGAAAACAATTCTAAGGATCACCATCACATCACCTTCCCAGATTTCTGGTTTTTAAGACAGCTCTGCTGCAAGCTACCAATTCCAATGGGACACTCAGCTCTGAGACTATTATAAGCCATCTTTATTGCCAAAACCAGCAAGTACACAGAGTCCTGAGACAAGGCAGGACTTGTGGCAATGCCTTGGCCTCCTGGAAGCATGTCTGAGCCCTCCTGTTCCCAGGGATTATGAGGAACAAGCCCTCCTGAGCTGCTACAGTTTCTGCCTGACCTCACTTCTTTGTAGTTACCATTCGTCCTTCTTGGCATGGGTGCTGACCTCACTCATCTTTGGGGTTTGGATCCATCAGGGCCTCTGCACCCCAGGATCCTCCATGCCACATGGTCACTGCTCTCCTCAGGGACCAGGACAAGGTGCTGCTGCTTGTCCACATTTCCCCCCCATGGGATATATATGGGAAAGTTTGGTCATTATCCTGTCACCCCTCAGGCCTACATAGGGGTTTCCAACTGGGGCATGTGGGCTGGTTCTGCTGGTTTTGACAGTTTTCTTGGATTCTGCATCCTCACACCCACCCCTTTCTCCAGACAGCCCTACAGTGACTGATGCTGGAGATGAGTTGGTTTTCTTAGCTATATCTGTCATTTGAAGCCTAGTCATAGCACTTTTTCAGTGTATCCTTGGCACCACTGCACCCTACCTGGGGAAGCTGCATCCCTAGGGTGGTCTGTAGGTACCAGAGACTATTTAACAAAACCCTTTGATAAGCTAGGCATTGTGACACATGCTGATAATCCCAGCACTGTGGGAGCAGGGGAAGGAGGATCACAGGTTTGAGCCCAGCTTGGGCAACCTAGCAACTTAGACCCTGTCTTGAAAAATAATACAAAGAGGTCTGGGGATGTAGCTCAGTGTGAAGACCCTGGGTTCAATCCCCAGCACTACAAAAAAAAGCAAAACCCTTTGGTACTGCTGTGGTTTTCTATTCTTCCAGTTTACCGTCTCTCTTCCCCAACTCTGTTCAAAAGTGTCATTGCTCTTTTTGCCCTGTTGCTGTACTCCGCCCCCGTCCAGTCCTGCTTTGGTTCTAACCAGTGTGGGGGAAAAGATACATGTTAGTGAGAGGAAGAACGTGTTATTTGAAGGGGCATTTTTCTGTTCATGTTTCTTATTTTGGTCAGTTCTTGTATTTGTGCCCTTGTGGCCTAGATATGTGAGAAGCCAGCCACCCTCCAGGCCTTTTAATGTCTTTGAAGAAGACCAGGCCTCATGTGGACACTAAGGAGAATGATGGCATGGTTCCAGAAATTTGGCAGAGACCAAACTCTGTTGCACATGTAAGGCCAGGTGAGAGGACCTGGCATTTATAGCTGGTACTGTAAATATTTTGTACAATAAATAAATGAATGTCTAAAAGAAGAACTCAGGAGCAAGTGACTACTGTTGTCAGTGGAGATTCAAGGTTTAAATTGAAAATGGTGGAGAAAAACATGTAGCTATGGTTTGCTGGGCTCAGGGAAGACTATGTAGGCACTAGCTTGTCCCACAGCTTGCCTTTTCCCCCCTCTCCAATAACTTATCCACAGTGTCAGGCTAGGCCACCCTATTGTCCCAGATTGTATCCAGGAGGCAAGTATTTATGCTCAGTTCCTGAAGAAGAAACTGGTTTGGCAAGAGCAGGGGATATCTGTTATCAACTTTAAAGATTAATTTGTTGATTTGCTACATAAGAAACTTGGTATAGGAAATTTGAAGTTAAAAGTATAAGGGAAATAAGTTACCCACCACCCAGAAAAAAACATTATTAACACTTTAGTATACAGCCTTCCAATTTTCATATAATATATTTATTTCCCACCACCACGTCCCCACCCTCCCACAGGGCTTTAGATGTGGCAAATAAAAGAAACACTATTAAAAGCTTGTGGGTGGCAGTAGGTACCAGTTCTTTTTCAGATAATCTTGGCAGAGAAAAAAAATGACTTGTGATTTAAGCCTGGAAGGAAAAATTTAGGGACTTTTGATTTTCTCAGGGTAGTACTCATGATGTCTTATACATTGGACTCCAATTGAGAAAGGCAAATCAAAATATCCTTTTAATTTTCTGAAGAGATACAGATTATTGCCTCTACTCATTAGATCTAGTGAGTTGGAATCTTAGCTTGAGAACTAAATTTGTTTAGTGCATTCACTCAACTCCCACTTAATCAAGTTCTTTGAATGGTATGTCTTAATAAGTTTTATCCTTCCGACTTTACATTTTCAAATCATTTACAGTCCTACATCTTTTTTTTTTTCTTTTTGGTACCGGGGATCAAAGTCACCACTGTGCGCTTGCCAGGCAGGCGCTTACGCCACTGAGCTAAATCCCCAGCCCCTCAATCCTATATCTTCTGCGTTGCTGCTTTTGTGACTCTAGTGGGTTACAGTGAATGTTAATCATTCAGTGTCATCACAGAGCCATTCCTGTGATTTAAGAGATTGGTCAAATTGTTCTTGAATTCACACATAACTACTGGCATTTGCCTCTTATACCCTGTCTTCTTTGAGCCATTGCACACAGCACTTTCAGACTTGTGCCAAGCCATCTTTCCCTTAGGACTGCAGTAGAGGATGTTGAACCTAAAGAGTGCCTAACCACTATTTTGATTTCACTTGGACTCTCAAGTATAACAGACCAGTTCCATGTACTGGGCAATACTTTCATTAAATGAATAATTCCTTTTTAAAGAAATGTTGAGATGTAACATGCACAAAAAGTATACAGACATGTACAGGTTAATAATAAACACATCCAAGTCAAGTAAAACACTGCAGCCAGTACAATGATGGCACATGCCTGTTGTCAGCTCTTGGGAGACTGGCAGGAGGATTGCCCTAAGTGAGAGCACAACCATATCCCTTTCCTTACGTGATTATCTTTACATACATAGTGATTATCCTGACTTACAATTACTTCATTAATGTCATTTCAAACAACCTGTTCCAAAACTCCACAAGGAGAGAAAAGCCTGTGCGGCCTCTTGGTAAGGTGCTAGCCAAGGTCTGTTTCTCCATAGTAATTAGATCTCATGATTGGTTTTTAAAAATCTTCTGAGACTGTCTTTACTCTGTGAAAATCTAATCCAGATTCCTGATGCTGATTCTAATTAGTTATACTCTGGGACTACAAGGATACTGTTCTGTAAAGATTTTCCCTCAGATACTCTAAACTGGATATTCCTTTTTCATTTGTGCCAAGTTGTGATTCTTTCTAGTGATCAGTAGGATGTTCTTGAATATCTCATAAGTTTAGTGGTAGTGAAAATGACTCAGCACTAAATTGTCTCAACTATTGTGGAATAGACTAGTATTTCTGACTCACTACTAAACCTGTTACAACTAACAAGACTAAAATTATTGGAGAGCTGTTTGGTTGTGTCTTTCAGTTTTCACTGAAATATGACGGGATGATTTCCGTATCTGCTGAAAGTGTTGTGATGCTCTTGGCTTATCTAAGAGTAAGTGCTTCATAAGGTTGGGAAATGCTTTGCTGTGAATACCTCTCCCTCCCCCTAGAATCAGTTTGCTTTAATTGTGCTTGTTTGTATAAGAACACTCTGTAGTAGCCATAGTAGAGACTTGGTTTTCCACAGTGAACGCAGATGTGGTCTCTACTAGATGGTCAGTGAATTCCTGATAATGAGAAGCAGAAGATGAGGAATGATAGCTGTTTGATTTTTGCTGTGGTATAAGGTGGCTTTCGCAAAGTTGTCCAGGCTGTCGGTGTGGCCTGACTTTGTCAGTGCCAGCCAGCGGCAACAGCAACTTTATTTTATTTTTATTTATTTATTTGCAACAAGGTCTTGCTATGTAGTTGAGGCTGGCTTTGAACTTACTGTGTAGCTCAGGCCACAGCAGCATTTGAAATGAGTTAGTGAGCTGGGGATTTGCTCAGCAGGCATAAGTGCCTGCCTGGCAGGCACAAGGTCATGAGTTCAAGCCCTGGTACAAAAAACAAAACAAAATGAGTTAGTGATAATGAGTACCTCTAATGAAGGCACAGAATCACACCATCCAATCATCTAGTTCACTTTGTAGCTTTCCTTTAGGGAGATGACAGCTTACTCAGGATGAAGCGGATCAGTGTGGTTGCTGCTTCCACTAAGCAGGCCACCATAGCCTTTATAGTCTCTGATAGCCATGAATGCCTTAGACCAAGGTCATTTGGAAAACCGAGCAAATTTCTGAAGGAGCAAGTTCTTGAGATTTTATCTTCTAGAAAGAAGCCAAGCTTGGACTAGAGATAGGATGAGAGAAATTTTTTCTGTAAACCTATGCCCTTGGCCTGGTGGCCTGTCCTGATAACAGGTACCTCCTTGTATCCTGTTTCTATCTCTAGGGCAGATAGACAACCTAGCACCTTTGACTTTTCTTAACCCATCTGCTTACCAAATTGTAATAATAGCTATCATTTTTTAAAAACTCTAAAAGTTGTTTTGTTTTGTTTTTATGTCTTCTTGAGACGGGGTTTTGCTATGCAGTTCAGGCTGGCCTTGAGCTCACTTTGTAGCCCAGGCTGACCTTGAACTTGCAAGATCCTCCTGCCTCAGCTGGAGTGCAGGAATTACAGGCCTGCATCACCACACCCAGTGATAACTATCATTTTTGAAACTGTTGGGAGCTTTAATATACATTGTTTCATAGTTGTGATGTTACAAGGTAGGTCTTGTTTTCATCATTTTATACAAGAAATCATTGAGGCACAAAGACAGTGTCAGGGTTCCTTAGCTAGCAAATGGTAGAGGTGTGTTTAAACATAGGTCTGTTTCATGTCAGAACCCAAACCATATTTCTGGTTTGTCTCTAGCAGATAAATTTAGGCAAGAAAGTTCAAGCATTGGGCCATCACTGCTCACTGACCTTGCCTCAGATTGATTTGGTGATACTGTGTGTGATAAACACTTTGCGTCTTGGTTTACCTAGTAGTCCCTTGAAGACTTGGGATTGATGAGGAGACAGTCTTACTCATCCAGGTCAGAGAGCTTGTTAAGAGGTACAGCTGTTCTTACTAATTTTAAAATCTTCTTCATAGAGAAAGATACCCGCTAATAACTTCAGTGAAGAGACTTCGAAGTCTAAATAAATCTACATAATTTTCAAAGACACCCTTGAAAGTAACTAGGGAAACAAATCCTGAAATTTTTATATTCTCACTTTGGTGGAAAAGCCATGTGTCACCTGCAAATGGGAATAATGAGAATAAGGTCAGACACCACACCATATTCCAGTATTTATGTCTGATAATTTAAGTATTCAGGAAAAAAGTCTCATTTGAATATATGTGTTGCCTCTATACTTTCTTTACATGAAGGAATACCATTTGGTAAAGGTTGAATTCCAGACAATCTCATTGAGGAAGCAAAAATTTTCCAGAATGCCAAACAAGACTGATTCTATTGGGACTATACGCATAGTGTCTTCTCAGTGGTGGTGTATCTGTATGTCTCTAGGATGCAATCAGTGCTCCAACCCCTACTTTATCTGCAGTGTAGGTTTGCACCTGAAGGAATCTGTCCAAACCTTCCTACCAACAGATTAGCAATATTCCCTCTCTTCAAAACTCCCACTCAGATGTAGCTAAGCCATTCCCTATGTTTGTTGATTAGCAGAGTCAGGGATATCAAGGAATTTGGAAGCAGGCTGGAGAGCCTTTGATACTTTTATACTGTGTCACAAACAGAATAATGTGAAATTGTGTAAGAGAAGGAGTACATGTCATCATTTTCTGCTACATCTCCTAAATCCTAGGTCTAATCCTACTCCAAGTTATCATTTCATTTGATGTACATATGCCCTCCCCCCAGTCTGGTGTTTCTGTTCCACCACTGGATTCATAGCCTTCTTTTCCTATTAGTTTTGTGCACGTCCACATTTCAGCAAACACTTCTTGTGTATGACACACTGTTCATGGAACTAGGGGGAAAGAAGATAAAATTTGATCCCTACCTCTGAGCACTTCACACAGCCCTGTATAGGGAGCTAGATATAATCCATTTTCCTTAGTTTTATTTCCTTGAGATTTGGATACCCAAACACATCACCACCTTATCCCCATAATTTCATTCCTATTGACTTAGGGTGGGGGTGGTGTCTTGGTTACTTTACTCTCATTGTTTAGACAAATACCTAATACCCAAATTTAAGAAGGAAGGTTTTATTTAGCTGGCCCCAAGGCAGAATAGCCTATGACAGAGGAGCAACAGTTTGTGGCAGCCAGAGGACAGCAAAAGCAACAAGAGCGAAAAGGGAGAAGCATAAGAGAGTGTTCCTTGTATCTAGGCTGCCTACCCTAGAGTGAATGTAGCACTCACAACCATAATCTCAGCATTGGACCATGAATCACAAACTCTAGAAGCCCATCTGACTGCATGAGGCTTTGG